GTGTAACATTAGTTATCTTAGTAAGTAGAACAATGGTGTACGAGAAAATAAGATTGGGCCATAATTACGCATACATTAGGCCCACTACGATCCCCGGTTATCGTCTTCGACGGGTAAAAGATTCACGACGAACAGAAAACAAATTTATCTGCCGGTGTTGCCTTCAAACTCTCTTTGATCAGATCGACGCCAACTTCTAAACACAAATGGGAAACATGAGAATCTTGATCGTGGGTTTGGCTTGTTTAGCCTTTGTCTCCATTGTTAAAGCTCTATCTCATGAACCAGAACTTGGTTCGGCTCGTGTCGTCTTCCAGGTTCATCCCTCGTCTCCTCTTCTCTGCTAACTTTGAACCCTAGTGCTATTTCATGCCAATATTGGATATGATTGTGGTTAAAAGAAACTTCATTGTGAATTTCTGATTTATAGTCTTCAGGATCAAAATCTCAATTTGAATTTGTGTAAAATCGATTTCAGTTTTCTTTCACTTTCTACACAAATTTATGTTCTAGGAACTTGAAATTTGTTAATGGTATGTGGAATGGATGATAATGGTTGTGCAGACTAGTTATGGAGATATCGGTTTCTATCCCACTGCTGCACCGAAGACAGTGGACCATATCTTCAAGCTTGTTCGTTTAGGAGGCTACAACACTAATCATTTCTTCAGGGTATATGACTTAAAGGCTCAAGCTTTGATTTGATTTTGTATCTTTAGCCACTTTTTTGGAAGAAGGGTTTGAGTGTGAGTCATTTTGCAGGTTGATAAAGGTTTTGTTGCGAATGGACGATCAGCTCCAATGAATGAGGAGCAAAGGAAAGAAGCTTAAAAGACAATTGTGGGAGAGTTCAGTGATGTCAAGCATGTGAGAGGTACTCTTTCCATGGGATGGTATATATTTTTCGAACTTGTGTAGCTTGGTTTGTTTCTATGTTTTCTATGGATGTCCCTTTTTTTTGGTGTTCATGTCTTTATGATGAAGATTATGGCTAGGTGACGTTTTGCCTCTCCGTGGTTTTGTTTTTGTTCAGTAGATATGGCACAATCTTCGTTTTCGATGCGTCTTGGCAATGATCCTCATCTTGATCGCCAGGTCAGATTGCTAATTCAGTGCCGACTGATGAGCACAGGAACGAAGCTGATAAGACAATATTTTGAGATCTCAGTGATACTAAGTATGTGAGATATACTCTTTCCATGGGAATGTACGTATCTTTAGATCTTTGTGAGTAGCTCGGTTTGTTTATACGTTTTCTATGAATGTCCCTCCTTTATTGTGTTCGTGTCTTTATGGTGAAGATCATTTCAAGGTGATGTTTGCCTCTCTGTGTAGATATGATGATCCAAACAGTGCACAATCTTCATTTTTGATGCTTCTTGGTGATGCTCCTCAATTTTTAAGAAGACTAGTAATAAGACTGGCGGTATTCAACGGTATGCTGCGTTTGGTAAAGTTACTAAAGGAGATGAAACATCAAGGAAGCTAGAAGAAGTTCCCACTCGCCGAGAGGGGATTTTCATAATGGTATGTCTCCAAGACAACTAGCCTTCTAAGGCCGGGTTTTTAATCGTTGTAAATAGCACTCGAGATTTTTTTCAGCTTTGGTAATTCTTTTACCTTCTCTTTTGCAGCCAACGGAGCAGATCAACATACTATGACGACGGTGAATATTTCTGATAAGTTCTTCCCCTAAAATTTGATGCTGACAACTAAGAATCTGTATTAGTACTCTTAATCAAACAAGCAGAGATCCATTTACATGGAGAATTCACAGGTTTAGTTCGTATAATCTTGTTTCTCAGACACTAAAATGGAGAGCTGTGAAGAAGAGAGATCTGTCCTGAAAAGAAGGCTTCAAGCATCTGTTGTGGAGGTCGAAAGACAGGTGACTGAAATGTCTATAGATAACGTTTCGATGATAAAGCTCCACATTTTGTATTAAAAAAAAATCAAAACAATCATGGTCCCTTGTGTCTTGACAGAGATTGAAGTGCTGCTTCCCGTGAATGAAGTTATGAAGATAAGAATTATTCAACAAAGCCTTTAACGAACACAAAGGTTGATTGGTGTGTCTAGTAAAAACTCAGAATGCTAGACAGATTTTGAGTGTGAGAGATTGTTGTTAATTAACAGTGTAAAATAGTTTGAGACATTAAATCATGGTTTGTTTCCTTCATTATCTGCAAAATCCTGTTTTCACCGGGACAAAATCCCAGGTTCTGAGCACCAAATAGTCAAATTCTGATTTAGTGAAATAAGCTAGCTCGGATCGGAGGAAATAGCAACAATACGTGTGCTCTGCTTTTGTGCTCTTCCATAAATAAAAAAAACAAAGCATTTCCATATGAGAAATTGTTAAAAATGCCCATTTTTCAATATCCCTTTTCAAAAATGCTTCATTTGAGAGTCCATTTTTAAGTTTGTCTTTTTTAAATTTTTAATGACCATTTTACCCTTTTTGAACAAATTAGGTCCACAAAATACAAAATATTTTTTGGCGGGAAAATTGATCCCGCAATTTTTCCCGCCAAAACACTTGTAAAAACCTTTAAAATACCTTGTAAAATTTTTCCCGCCAAAAATTTTTTTTGCGGAAAAAGTGATTCCGCAATTTTTTTGGCGGGAAAAATTTACAAGGTATTTTAAAGGTTTTACATAGTATTTACAAGTGTTTTGTAAGGTTTTACAATGTATTTTAAAAGGTTTTACAATATACTTATAAGGTTTTATAAGATATTTATAACTTGTAAAACCTAAAAAACTTGTAAAACCTTATAACTTGTAAAACCTTATAAAATAGCTTATAAAATCTTATAATATCTTATAAATACCTTATAAATACGTTGTAAAACCTTTTAAAATACATTGTAAAACCTTATAAATATCCTGTAAAAAACCTTTAAAATACCTTGTAAATTATTTTCGCCAAAAAAATTGTGGAATCACTTTTCCCGCAAAAAAAAATTTTGGCGGGCAAAAATTTTACGGGAAAATTTTACAAGGTATTTTAAAGGTTTTACAAGTGTTTTGGTGGGAAAAATTGCGGGATCACTTTTCCCGCCAAAAAATATTTTGTATTTTGTAGAGCTAATTTTGTTATATTTTCTTATATATTTGTGATATCTTTTATTAAAAGAAGGGTAATTTAGTCATTTTGTACATAAAAAGAGGTATTTTTAAAAATGAACAGCCAAATGAGGCATTTTTGAAAATGGGTATTGAAAAAGGGGCATTTTTGTGAGTCTCCCTTTCCATATTTCCATATTAATTTGTAAGAAATTTGTTTTTCTGCTTCACTTTAAAAAAAAAAAATTGGTGAGTGAAAAGAAATTTAAAAAGTATTAGATATAAACATGTACATATTAATATTGTGTGTGTGTGTGTGTTTTTTTTTTCTCTTTCTAGATTAGCAAAAAAAATCCAACCTTTTTAGAAATACATAGGCAAATTAGTATATCTAACTTTTTTTTCCGGTTAGTTTTCCTATTTAATTGATGTGTATTTTATTTTGGTATCATCAAATTGGTTTTTGTAATTTAAAAATGTGTGTGTTAAAAAAATTAAGCGGATATTTTTAACGATCTGAAAACCGACATTAAACGATTTTTTTTTGTTGAAAGATAAAAAAAAAAGTGTAGGGTAGAAAATAGAAATTTATGTATTTAAATAGAAGATAAAATTAATTAAGGTAGAAATAGATAAAACAATTATTATAGTGTATGTTTATGGAATATTGTTTTCTACAAGGTAAAAACCCAAGAATAAATACACATGAACTAAATAAGGGAAAGGAACAGTAAAAAGGAAAAAAAGAAAGAAAATACCTTTTATGATGGGCTTAGAAGTAACATAATGGGCCTGGGTTTCAGCTGGCGTACGGAAAACGGAAAGAGATAGAAAGAGTCGAAAAACCTAGGTCTTTCTCTTCTCACTCTTCTCTTATATGTACTGTGTCTGACTCGACCTGCAAATCAAAAGCGCCTTTCACTTCCTCGCTCGTCTTTCTATATCTATCTCAAACCCTAACGATCTTCGTCCCTAAGTAACGATCTTCCATTTTCTTCTGTAAACAAATATGATCCTCTCGACTCTCTACGTTTATTAGGTCGCGATTTTAACCTAATAATCTCTCCGCTTTGATTTTTTCCTTTCTCTGTTAGGTTTTTCTCTCCCTGTAGAATCATCTATCATGACTGGAGGAGAGTCTGCAAAAGTAAACATAACTTGCAATGACTCAGTTGTTGAAATCCTTGATCCTTGTTCACTAGCTAAAGTATCCAGAAAGATTTCAGAAATTGTTAAGAAATCATCCGATTCCAAAATCTTTTGTACTCTGGATGTCTCTAGTGAAATCATGAGGAAGCTTGTTACCTATTGCGTGAAGCGCAACTATCAACCCGAATCTGATCCCGACAAACCCTTCTCCACTGAGGATGAGAAGTGGATCCGCGAGGAATTCAGCAAAGAAGAAGAAGATCCTAAGAAGCTCTTCGACCTTTACAAGGTATGTGCTTATCGGATTTTCATTTATAGGACACTCTTAGGTTTTGGATTACATTTTTTTGCTTTCTGCTATATTATCGGGTTATTGCTCAAATTTCATGGATTTGTACACCTATGTGGTGTGTAGGCTTCGGAGTACCTTCGATTTCTACACCTAAGTGCTCTGATCAGAAGGATGGGGATGAAGAACAGTATATTCTTTGATCTTATTCACGATCATTCAGAACAGAATATTAAGAAAGGAGGAATTCCGGAATTAATGGCCGAGACATATCGAAGCGACCTACAGGCAATTCTAATGCTATTATGAATTTGTTTTGTTTCTCTTTACAAGATTATTAAGGAATTTACTCCTGATTTACTATTTTAAATTTGCAGAAAGCCAAAGCAAAGGAAGAAAACCTTGCTAAAAAGGCTCGTAACGATGCCAAAGTGGCTCGTAACGAGAAAAGGGCGGAGGTGAAGCTTCGTAACAAGAAGCACCTGAAACAAATTAAGCCTTTCCTTGAGGTACAAATTAAAATTACAATGGGCATGGCTATAATCTTCCTGCGGCGGATGGCTTCACATCTTTCCAATATTGATTGCGTTGCCATTTCTATTTCAGCGCTTGATCCCCAAGCTTGACGATCAGAGCTATATGGGTTTTGCCTTAGCTTCCAAGGCGTGTTCTCCTTTGGCCAGTGACATTCAAGCGCGTAGGTGTCTCCCTCTTCCGGAAACCGGGTCCAGGGGTATAGAATTTACAACGTCCGATAAAAAGACTTGTTCGCCCAACAAAGAGGTAATTGCTTTGAGTGGGTATCTCAGAGCCACTCTACTCCTTAAAAGTGAGCAAGTTGAGGCGGGATCTCCCGTGAAGTTTAAGGTTCCTTTCACAATGGCAATCTTCAGAAGGATCACCAGATTCTGCACGTTGCACGCCAAAGCAACCAATCCTTCCGAGAAATGGTTTGCTGAAGTTTTCTTAAAAAAGGAGGATGATTCCAAGAGCCTCTTGGATCTTGGCGAGGTCTGTTCCCTCCATTTGGTTTCCCAAATTTGTGTCTTTTCCTTTTCATATCGATAATTTGTTGAATCATCTCTTTTAGGCCGCTCTGTACTTGAATATCCGCATCCTTGTTGATTTGATAGCATCGACTGTTGTGAAGAATATCAACAGCAAAAAGGTCTCTGAGATGCGTGCTACTCTTCACATCGAGAACGACTTCACCGATTCAACTTTTGAAGAATTGGAGAGGCGACGGACACATGGTGACTGGTTTTTTGCTGCTGATCCACTTCCATTTACACCCTGATAGGAAGAATCAAAGGGGAGTTGGTGACTTAAAAAAATGACTATCTAGTGTGAACACGATTAATATCTTCTTTGTTGTTTTGAATTGCTTGTTTTCATTCTGCATATTATTTCTTTTCAAGGTACGTACGTTGCTGTCTTTAAAAAAAAAAAATTATTTTAGTGAATGGTGGCGTGAAGCCGTGAAGACTTAATATTTTCTTTGTTCTTGTTTGTTTCGAATTTGAATTCCAAAATTTACAATCCCACACGATTTTTTACACCACTAGGTGACTGAGTTTACACATGTTATTTTGAAAAGTGGATTAAGTGATTCTCTCTCTCTCTCTCTCTCTTTTATAGTAATAACTTTGTACCTTATATATTTCCAGTTGTATTAGTCGTCTCTCTTCACTCTCTATTTAGTTATACAACTTGGTAGCAAATCATCTTAATACATTTTTTTTTTAAAATAGTTGTAAGGTATCAAGGTATTATTTAATAACATTTCTTTGACTTTTACGAAGTATATGTAGCATATTGGCTATGCAAATAAACACTTCATGTGTCACGATCTGGTCACCGTGGAAAACAAAACAAATATGGCTAGAAAGTTCATATAACAATAATGATTGTATCTTATTTTTTATTTTTTTCCCAAAGTGATCATTTTCTATTGAAACAACAAAGGTTCGTCGACTCGTCGTGACCCACAAGCATGACAGCCTACTAAGCTATTACAAGAGTTGGATTATCCCACTGAATACTGACAATCCCTGCTTCTCCTACTCCAAAAGTATCCAAGGTTATCAGACATTCTCCTACAACGCCTTGATCATTCACTTTTACTTCAATGATCTCACCTTAAGATAACAAAAGATCAGTAGGAGACTACTACACAATTTAGGAAGTGTGGGATTTATAATACGCGGCCAAAAGAATTTAGTTTGTTTGCATTTATCTTTATCAGAAAGTTTTTTTTGTCATATATAATCAAGTTTTTTTTTATTATCAGAAAGTTGATTATATAAGAACAGGAAATGTGGGATTGAGTCAAAATATTAATGGAAGTTGTAGTTTTGAGTCGGTTAGTAAATATTCTCACTATCCATTTGGAAATTATGATTGTATATTAAATTCTACCTTTTTCAGCTTTAATAAAAGGATTAGTTTCCTAATTAAAAACTTTAAAGCCTCGATATTATTATTATTTGTTCACGTCACATAATGACACAACCCAAACAAAAGAAACAAGACTATAATTTAATGTCGATAAACAAAAGCAAGCCAAAGTTATGCTTTAGGTTGTGTTAATTGCCAATTGTACAAGAGATTTGTAAGGGGAAAAAGAAACAAACAAACAGATCATAGAAATGTCACGATATTATTAATACGTAAAACAATTAGAATTGTAATAACCAACGTGAGATTTAAATTTTTAATTCCTAATAATTCGTCTTTTCATACGCGCGTCTTTCGAGTGTCTGCGAGATAGAACTAAATATGACACAATAGTACATTAATGTGTAGAATTGTCAAGTCCAAGAAACGTTTGAGAAACAAAAAGATCATGAACATGTCTGTACATGTCATATATAGAACAATGACACGATAGTACGTAAGAATCCGTCATAAATCTCACTATTTGTTTCGTGGTCTCAGACACTCCATGTAATTGCCTAACTAGACTCTTGGATCGCCATGGGAGATTAATTAGTGACATGTATAACTGAAAAATATTTCTTGCTTGGCAATTTTGAATATGATTAGCTAGAAGAATCAGATAATTACTGAGAAAATATAACCGCGCCCATTAAAAGTACGTTAAAAGTCCCCTAGCTAGTCGTTAGATACCACTTGATGCATGGTTCAGTGCTGGCATTTCTCTAGCTAGTGTGGAGAAGAAAAGTCATGCTTGCCTTGTCAATTTCGACCTAGGGCCCGTCATGGTGATGACTGCGTCTTATCAATATATATATCAATAACTAAATAAGATTTTCGCTTGTTTCGAGACAACTTATCAATATTTTTTACTTAAATGGGGATAAAGCACAACGAGAGGCTAAATTAAAAAGCGAGCTCTAGAGATTCTTGCTTTCGCGCACTAAACAATGATTACGTAATATCGTTTGGCAAAAAAAAAAAAAAAAAAAGTAATATCAGCCTGTCAAAACCAAATTTTTTTTTAATTTTTTTTTATTTTAATTTATTCCCTTGCTTTTAGGATCTGAATAATAAATATGCGGTGGAAGCCCCCTTGGCCCATTGGTTGACCAAGGGTTAATTAATGCTTCTACACCAAGAGGTCTGGGGTTCGAGTCCCAGATATTGCGATTTATTAATAAATTTGCAGATTAAATGAGACAAGTGTGCAGGAAATCTCCAGCGAAGTACAATTATAGCCGTTCGCCAGGATTCTACGCAGAGAGAGAAGTGTCGTTAGGTCGTGGATCATTGAAGGTGTCCGTTCGCCAGGATTCTATGCAGAGAGAGAAGTGTCGTTAGGTCGTGGATCATTGAAGGTGTCCGTCAAGAGCATGGAGAAAGAAGTGTCGTCTGTCGTGGATCTAATAAGGGTCGGAAGGAATTGTCCGTTGTAGAATCGTCTATGTAACAGTTCTCATAATTTGCAATAAATAATAAATCTAGACGTCAAAAAAAAAAAAGAATAATAAATATGCGTTCAGATATACGTGAGCTAAAGATATCCTACCAATTTTTCATTTTCTTCCCAGATTAATTAATAGCTTTGTACATTATATATATGCAATGACGGAAAGCTGGTCTACTTGTTCGGGGTTCTCAGCGATGTTCGGATCTGGCGGGGAGGGGTTAGTTCCCAGTGTGTATGGTTACTAGGTTTGGGACATACATTGGTAGAGCCTGTCGTCTGAGGTGTTGAGCAGACCGGAAGATCCGTGACGGGTTCGGTGTGACGATGGCGAGGATCCGGCGCTGAAATCCGAAAGCTTTTGGCCATTGTTCCTCTCCGGAGTCTCTACCGCAATGTCGTTGGTTTTGCTTTCGCCGGAATTGCTTTATACTCCGATGCGTCAGGTCTTTCAGCAGGTACAGAGCCTCGCCGCCGGTGAAGATTAGGTCTTTGTTTCCCTTTTTTGTAACTGTGTTTCGTTTCTGTAAAGCCTATTAACTAAAAAAAAAAATGCGGAAAGCTTTTGAAAAATAAAGCCATCGAGAACGTAAATGGGAGATGTACTACTTAATCGATCAGATTCTGGGTATATAAAACTAGCTCGGTCATCAAATAATTGTGAAAGGCGAAACTAAATATGCATATATAGGGACATAAAAACGTTTGTGTTGGTCTAGGGTTTCAAATTTATGCTTCGAATTTGTTCTTTTAAGTATGAGTTTTTCCATAGGATTTGGTTCCCTAGTTGATTATCTCTTCAAACCCACTTTTTTTTTCTTTCTCTGTGATTTATTTGGTTGTCCTTGATGAATATATAATAAGACCATCAGCAGCAGTTGCAAATGTGTTTGTGTGAATGTAAATATTTTTTTAGTATTATAATTTAAAGTAGAAGAGAAAAGAGAAAGAGAAAGAAAGAGAGAGATAGAGAAAAAAAGTGTTACACCCGAGTGTAAACTTACACCCGGATGTGAAGAGAGAGACAATTTTTTCGTTTTTTTAATACCTACACCCCAAGACTCACACCCACCTGCTTGCCCCACTGCACATGCTCTAATAAGTTTTCTTGCCTTTATTATTATACGTTGTTTAAATAAAGTAAGAAACAAGACAATGTCACTTCTTAAAAGAAAGCTAAAACCTGGTTTTGGGCAAGGAAATACTCCAACCAGAGTTGGTTTCTAGGATGTGTTTTCGATTTCTCATTGGTCTGATTGGACATCCACTACTCAATGTCGAGTCCTATGTTATCACGTACACTGTACATACTTGTAATTAACAGTGACCACAAAAAAAAAATAACAGTAATTGGTTATCAACTTCTTCTGACCGTAAAAATTGGTTAGCCATACAAGTGAAACACCACTGACCTTCCCCAAGCTATCAACTTTGCCTTTGCTTCTCTGTTGATTTATTGAAATTTTAAAACACTTTTTCTCTTGTTTTTTTTTTAATGACATGAATTGAGGTAGGTAACAGTGAAGTATACATATAGATGTTTCTTGGTAGTGTTGAACACCAATTGACAATTGTGTATTTGAGTCAATAGATTGTTAAGTTGGATTTATATAAAAAAGAAACAAAGAGCTAGAAGGAGAAAATTAATTATAACTTCGGGTAAACCAAGGAAACATCCAAAATACTTATTACCATAAGGTTTATTTCATTAGGCAAATATACTCAAAATGTTTTGCTGATAACTGACTACTGCATGGATCCTGGAGTTATCTCCCTAATACGTGTGTGTGCGTGTGTTTGAATAGTTGCAATTTGCAAACTATTCGACTTATATCATTTCTGACGCTTTATTTGTTTCTTCACGAGTACGTACGTTAGGCATGGAAACATAGGTCACTATTCTTCTGGTCTTGGATTAGTTCCTTCAGTCTCATCTTATGTTATTGAAGTTTGGGTGATTAGAAGTTACTAAATATTGAGTTTAATAGCAATGTCCCTCCTGATCCCATGTGTTACGCCAATTCCCTTACTTACCTTACATTTTTCTATGAATCTTCTAGTTTGTATCATCTAACTAGCTAGAAAGTAAGATTCAAATGTGAATTTTTCTAATTATTTACGTAGCTTATTTTTCTTAACTAATAAACTCACTAATTATACAAAGATTAGAAAAGTATACATGCATCGATTTGGACAAGGAGGGAGTGCGAGCTCTAGCAGAAGAGAAGTCATATATGTTTGTAAATACTAAATAGTAAGAGTTTAAATAATTAATATTAATAACAAAAGTTTAAATAATTAATATAAATAACAAAAGTTTAAATAATTATTGATTGATGTAGAATGAATCTTCCTCAGTTCCTCTCACACCTATAAGGCTATAACAAAAGTTATTTTCTTGTCAATCAGATAAAAAAAAAAAGAACAAGCGAGTTTTGGTTTTCGAGGACTAACTAAATTAATCATGATGACTTTTGTATTATTATCTTTATATATATATATAAAGATATATATAAACTGATGTGAGGCCATCTAGACTGAGCAATTATTGTTTTGTCTTTGTATATTAATTATTTAAGTTGGAAAAAAAGATTCTGTCAGTTAGATTGAGAAAAAAAAAAAACAGAATTAATCTTGGCCGTATGATCAGATCTTTGGGCTTTTACACGGAATTT